GGTGGCGGTGGCGGTGGCGGACAGGCGAGGTGCGACGCCGCGAGGCGAAGGGAGCGCCAGGCAGACGGGTCGGGGAACAGGGCGAAGTGAGATGACACCGAGTGCTGGTTGATGGCGTGGGGGAGAGAACAGCAGTGGGAACGCGCAGCAGCAGCAGGATGGCAGTGGTGGTTACGGTTAGGGGAGGAGGAAAGGGTGGGGATGTCAAGGAGAGATGTCAGAACAGCCCATACGCCGACTGGTGGAAATGGTAAGCACGACAGGTGGGATGGGGCCAAGGTGGATAAGGTGGTAAAGGCTTGGTGAGGCTAAGAGGACGATGAGGGGACGGAGACTGAGGCGGCGAGGACGGAGACTGAGGCGGCGAGGACGGAGACTGAGGCGGCGAGGACGGCGATGGAGATGGCGAGGACGGAGACTGAGGCGGCGAGGACGGAGACTGAGGCGGCGAGGACGGAGACTGAGGCGGCGAGGACGGGAACGGAGATGGCGAGGACGGTGTCGGAGGCGGCGAGGACGGAGACGGGAAACCAGCGGTGGAAGGAGCAGCGTGGGTGGCGCCGCCGCCACGACGTGAGGCGTCCGCCCTGTGACGCGGGAGAGTCGCTCGGGGAGCGGCGGCGTTTGAAGGGCGTCGTCCCTGGAGGGAGGCTGCGCTGTCTGGGAGTGGGTGGCGGGCGCCTGGGAGGTACAGGGCGATGGAGAAGTAGTGGACTACTTCGCCCTGAACCTGTACACTGAGCTTCGTAGATTGATATTTGAGATGGAAACTGACTCTTCTTAAGGGGTTTGCCCTTTCATTCCTAGTTTTGGTTTAAAATATATTACTTTGTTTGGAATTCGAATGCATTAAAATCCTAAATCATAAAACCTTCGAGTTTTGAATATAGGGTTTTATTCGTATTGTTTCAATTGATTAAGAAGGTACTGTATTGAATAGGTATTGGAATAAATAGTTGGTTTAAATGCAGCAAAAACATTATAATAAGGTGCATTTTAAGCCCTATGTTTTACAACACAGGAGGCTAAGTTCATTGAAAACGTGCATTGCTGTTAGGAGCATGTTGAAGCACTGTTGGACAAAATATATTTTGTAAAAGAGTCTTATTAAATACCACTACGTTGGCAATAAGTTTGGAACATTACCTACGATAATGATACTCGTAACATTTTTTTTTCTGTCAGTTTTTGTACCGAAGTTCAAATTTTTGTTGTTATATTCTTCTTGCATTCTTACATTTAATTTAATAACAACATGAAATGGACCTAAAATTCCTTATACACTGATTTTACTCAAACATCGTAAAATTGTTAAAGCTCGCCAATCATGGAAATATTTTTGGTCTACCCGGTACTATTGTGATCGTGATGGCAATCGGAAGATTCATCCATCCACTCACATCAACAAGGAAGTTTCGACCTAAAAAATCGATGCGGGACCCGAAGTGATGTCGCGGGAAAAACTTTTCGGATATGTTTTGTCCATTTCCAAATTAATTGTCGAATTGCCAATTGAGAAAATGCCCTCCAAAGATCAAGTATATACCTCGAGATGTAGGGTGTCAAAACGTCAGTAATATTGCAAGAAGATAGATTACTCCTTGTACTCGTAAGAGATGTTATTCAACGTTAAAAGATGAGATCACTGACCTCAATTGCAATATTTTTTTCTTCGAATAAACACTTTCATTCTATTTCATCATATTCAGTTCCCAGAGGCTTTATAAAGGAGGTTGAATCCATTTCAGTAAATTATAAATTGGAGTTAGCTATGGGAACGTAGACGTTGGAGGGTACGTGAAACGGGCACAGTATAACAGAAAATGACGTACCAAGTAAACAGTATAAACATTCATTTATTCCCTATTCACTAACCTTACGTGCAGAACATAGGAGTAGTATGGATTTTATGACACTTGAATAACAGTAACATTGCGCGTGATTTTTGCCGGCTGAGATGAGTCAAGGCATCAACTGATGTCACTTCAGATCCTCTGACCGAGAGATTCGAGGATTAAAGCCGGTAAGAAGCACGCAGTTTTCGAGTTTTTGAGATTTCCGTGGTTTCTCCAATCCGCACCAACCGAATGCCGGAGCAGTACCCTAATAAACGGGCCACGGACTACGCGGGGTATTTCCTTTCCCTTCCTCGCCACCTCCTCTCTCTTTATTTAAACACACATACACTTACTTGGATACATACATTACGGCGCATGTCTGGAGAGCAGCCTACGAAACGGGCAACGAACCGCGCAATATTTCCTTCCTCTTCCTTGTCCTATCCTAATCCCTGACACACTCACACGTACATGTAATACAGTACTGCGCAGACCAGAGCTTCTCCCAACTGGGGCGCTACACCGCTGTTGGGAGATACCTGGATTGGAAAACCCCCGCAAACGGACATGTAGGTCCTCGAGCGATCTCATCATCCAACGAATGAATAAAATCGACGCCTTCCGTAATAAAACATTCACTACACTTACAGGACACATGACGTGCTTTCAAACACGAAATAATGAATCAATCGGAATTTGATGTGATAATTTGTGTGATCCATTACCTATATTTTCTTCCATGCTCCCGTGTACTAACGGAGCCCCCTTCGAACCTGGATATCGTTAAAAAATTAAACGGTAGCCAGAACCGCGGGTCGGGAATATGACTAGTGAAACCCTGCAGACCGTCTGATGGTATGAAAAATTGCTTCCTCCCCAGTTGTACTCCTGACGCGAGCCCCTAACTCAGATGCAAGTGTAGCCGCGCGCTTTTACAGCGGAGAGTTCCCGTGCGGGGAGTGCCGTGCGCTCAGACGCAACTTCATTTTACGGACGCCCGTAACTCGCGCGCAGCCCGTAAAGTAGCGCTGCGCGGGTGTAAAATAGCACGCAGGCGGCGGCGGCGGCGGCGGCGACGGGGGCACCGCCGCTAGAGCAATATTGCAACATTCTTGAAGACAGCGATTCCACTGTATCCGGGGCTCTGCGTTATCCCGGAGTGCAGCCAGGGCACGGAGCCTTGGTGTACACGATTGCCGGGCCGGCGGCCTCGGTCGACACTTGCCTTGCGTTGGAACGAGGTCGTGGTGGAGGGCAGGGGTTGGGTCGATGGAAGCGCATTTGGAAAATGAACAGGAAATGATAACATTAAATGCAATATAAACGGGGAATGTGTATGAGATAGAGAAAGATATGCCTGTTTAAAACATTTAATTGTAATGTGGTAGTAGCTAATTAGTTGTTTTGTTTTTGCGGCCTCCCGTTGTCAGATTAAAATATCTTGATAACGATTTTGCATTACCCGGGACTGCGTTATCTTCGAGAGTGACCAAGGAACGAAGCCTTGGTGTACGCGATTACTAGAGCGGCGCCCTCGGCCGACTCTTGCTTTGAGCTGAAAATAGGTCGTGGTGGAGTGCAAGGATTGGGTCGTAAAAGGAGCTTTTGGAAGTTGATAGTTAATATTAAAAATAATTAATGTATTAGAAACCAAATTACGAGATAAAAATGGTTCAGTTACGAAGTGATATTACTTTGGTCAAAAGTTTCATTGGTTGCCATTATTTATTAAATTTCTTTAAGAGTACATCTGCTTTGAGAGTATATAAGTGATATAGGAGTATGAGCATATTAGAGCTTTAAGAAAGAGTACTTGTGGGTGACTAAAGGTGCATGTATTGATGTACACGACTGTCAGGCTTCCGTAGTCACGAGTTTGTCTTTCGCTTGCGTGGTGGAATATCAGTCTTGTGGAATATCAGTCGTGGTGGAATATCAGTCTTTTGGAACGCTTTAGAAAAAAACGTAAATATTTGCAAATTCTATATATTACAAAGGGGAAATAAAATAAAAAAGAATATTTGTGTAAAATCACCACCATAATATAATTTTTAGCCTAACACTAGCGACATGAAACGGTAAAAATGCTGTTGAAATAAAAGGCCCAAAAGGACATGTATGGGCCAAATGGCAAAGTAGGGAGCATACTGCTCAAGAACGACAAATAAAATGCTCTCGCATAACATTGATATAAAAAAAATTTAACAAAAACAGCCTTTACGAATACTGCAAAATATAGTCCAGAATACACAGATTTACAGTACAATGGTTCTTTGCATATCATATCAAGAATATAAAAATGTTGCTGTTCGATAACACAATTTGTGAATAGCAATTTTTAAATGGCGGGCGACCCCTTTCTTGGAGTTTTTCAGTCGCATGACTTACGCTTTGTCGTAAAAGTATCGTATGAGAATTCAGTCGGATCGGGCAATGTGTGAATAGGATTAACAGAAAAAATATTTCCATATTTTCATTAAAATGGATATTGTTACATTCTTAATGGAAGTTTTCGAGTTCCTGAGTTTGTAATACAGGCTCTTCCCGTATGGACCCAGGCATCTCTTGTACGAGTATAACTAATGGCTGCTTAATTTTCTTTCAATTTCTGCGGAGGTTGGAAATAAGTACTATAGATTTTCACTGAGTTATATCATTGACTGCAATGCCTCCGGAAGAAGATGAGTTCGCGATGTGTGCGGGTTTGTGTTAGGCAGGTGGAATGTGAGTGAATGATGCTTTCGTATCTTAACTTGTTGCGTGATGCTTCAGGGTCTTAACTTGTTGCGACTTAAAAGCCACGTATTGGATGATTGCAAGAGGGAAACGCATTTATTTTGCTGAATTATTCTTTTTTTTCAAGTAGGTATCATAAAAATTTCTAATTTTATCGTAATATTTTCAATCCCAGAGTGCGTAAAGTTCTCCCAAACGTCAACTGCTGTTGTCTTTGCTGAACGAGGCATTCTGACTGCACACACCTTGAGCTGTGTTTAGGTCAGAGATTGTGCTCTTCACCAAGATTATTGAAATTGGTGGTCCAATAAAGTGAGTATTCTAACTTGAATTTTTAATTGTTAATTATTTGGTTGATTGAGAAGTCGCTTTTTCTCACCTGAGAGAAGTAGATACAACATCTATCGCTATTTTATAATCCCAACT